CTTGCATGTTCCTGTCATGCTTCTGTGGATGTGGAAAAATTTCCCCTGCTGGAGCCAGGGTTTGTGTGGCTGTATGCCCCAAAGGGGCTTTTCCAACTGGGTGTGGGTATTTCTAATTCATTGATATCCAACTGAGACTTCTGCTGCTCCTGGTGAAAAGATGGTCTGATGAGAAGGAGAAATTGTTCTACTAAAACCCACGAAACACACAGCTTGTGAAAAGCACTGCTGTGGCAGCGGTGATCGTCAGTATCAGCAGCATGCCCACGCACAGCCTCACAGCCCTCGGCTGAGGTGCCCTCCCCAGCCTGGAGGAGGTGAAGGAAGGAAGCAATTAGAGCATCTTTTCCATCATGGAGCCTGATTTTGTCAAGAATGAGGAAGAAGTTCAGAGAGGTGGCCAAGAGCAGCAGGTCTGGGCAGCCTGCCACGGGGGATCCCGGCACATCCCACAGCATCCCATGGCTGTAGCAAGCTGGGTCAGGGATTGGTGAGAGATGTTCACAGCCTGAAGCATCCTGACTACAACTGTAAAAAACTCACATGCACTCTGTAGGGAGACCTGGCTCTCAGACAGCTCAAGATAGACTTTCACACACCACCAGCTCTAGATGCACCATCAGCAAGGAATGATTTGGTCCCTGGCTATCATCTAGTTAAATTAGCACTTGAAAATTAAGAAAGGAGTGCTCTGCAACATCCTGGGAGTGATTTCATCTCAGCAGAATGCTTCTCTGGGCCAGGAATGCAGGAATACCTTAGACAAGGCAAGGAAACTATCTTTGCCAGGAAAGGCTGCTGAGCTAGTAGATGATATGGAAACACATGGAGGAATTATTCCTGGGTGATTGCAGGAAAAATGTGTGGATAGAGAGGAAGGTGACATATATATATAGATGACACATGTTTTTTCAGGGATTTTTCAGTCATTGTAAAAGGCTTGATTGTGCTAAAGGTTATTTTTAAAGCTTGTCTGATCTTTGGAGGATGATTTGTGGAATATTACGCAATGCAATTGGACTCAAATAGGTAATGGTACCAGTGCACTGTGGCACATAGTTTTCTTTGCTTCCTCATCACAGTTTTGCACCCAGCATGACAAAGACCACTACTCATGAGACCAGATGGAAGACATTCCACATTTCATGTAGAAAATCAGCAGCTGAGTGTCTGGTTGGAGGATACCTGCTTATTGATGGTGATACAGTTTTCACACACATACAGACTGAATGTTAATTTCAGGATCTCTGCATTATTCTTCTGTGAGTTTATAACTGTTTTGGAATAAACACCAATCTAAAAAGAGCAACAATCAAGTCTGAGAATGTACTGACTGTTCCTGAAGATTCAAGTTCTCTTCTCTGGATTGGTGGTGTTGGACGACCGGTCTCTGTTTTGGGAAGGCAGCTACAATATTCTGCTATCTGATGGAACATCTGTTGTAAACCAAGTACCTAACACTAAAAAAAAACAAAACTGAAAAGCATTCACCCAGCACACATTTGACAATACCGTTGTGGAATTGTGTGACTGGGGTAGTCTGCAATAAGTGAAGGAATGAATATTCATACTATTGGTATTGCGAGTGGGAAAGATGAAGCTAGCAATCATCCATGCTGGCAGAGTCTGTTAGATGAAGAAGCCTAAAGGCTGAAGAGAGCAAGCTACCGAGAGAAAACCAAGTTAAAAAAAAAAAAGGTAAAGAAGTAGAGTCACTCCCTGCTCTCATGGACTCTTGCCTCATTAAGGAGTCCTGCCATTTTGGAGCTCCACAGCCACTTGGGACAGGATGTATTTTACAGCTAAATGTGGAGTAATTTACAGCAGTGCTTCTTGAGATGGATGCATGCCACACATACCTACACCTGAATAGAAGCATGACTTTAAAGAGGCCTGAGATAGACCTGCAGAGGTACAAATGTTCCAGGAATGCAGACAGCCTGCATTACCAGAGTGCTCATGATAGAGAAATTTCTGTTTTCAAATTCTTACTCCTCAGCTAGGAGAAAGTGGGGATCATGCACATGACAGAGGAATCCCTTACTTGTACCAACATAGTAACTTAGTGCCAAGTAGTGTCAATGTTGTTCTTTTTTATGGGAAGCACAATAAAATCAGAAGAAGAGACTGTGAGGTCTGTTCTGCACTAGATGGAGTTGCTGTTTGGAGAATCCCAGTAAAACTTCATTTAGTTGGGATTTCAGGGAAACTAGCACTGTACACCCTACTCATGCACTGGCACCTCAGGGTGCTGTACTGCATACAGATGTGCTACACACACAAGCACAAGCTGGGCAGCACCAAATTGAAGATAAGCTGACAGTTTGCTGTGGTGGAAACCTCTCTGTATGTGGAACCTCATTATATAGCAGCAGCCTTTTTTCTTTTTCTCTTTTTTTTTGTTAAAAATATCATAATAGGTGTTAAGTAAGCAGAATAACAGAACCTCTGTCTTTTGTTTTATACACGTGTGACTGCTATTTTCTTTGTCTCTATAACTAGACCCTGGTACATCATGTTATAGTTGTCACAGTTACTATTTAAATATATTTCTTTTGTTTAAGATGTTACTGGAATTAATTAAAATAGCAAATCCTCCTGGGAGCAGAAGAACTAGCAAGGCCTGATCACCAGGTGAATTCTGCCCTCTCTATTGTCTTTGCTACCGCCACCGACAGGTGCCAGGGCTGTCAGGATGACTGACGCCTGGCTCCTGCCTTTTCCTCAGGTAACTGGCTGATGGCATCTGCCTCTCCCCTAGTGCAAGCACACATCCTGATTTCTGTAGCTTCTGTTAAACCACTGATTTTTAATTTTTTAAAATTTTTTAATTTTTTTTTTTTAAATTTCAGTAAATCCTTTTGTGAATCCTGCATCTCTGAGAATTGATTTCCCCATGCCACACAGGGAAAATCTGGCTACCATGTTAGAAAGTCATTGCATGGGAACCAGGAAGAAGGTGGCAGAAACCATCTAATATTCCCTAAAAAAAAACCCCAAATCCCAACCCAAGTTTTCACTGGTCTAAGAATCGCAAATTGCTTTGCAAATGATGATTTCATTGGTTCTCACTCAAGCAATGCCACTTGTCAGAGGAAGTGTTGCTGGAGCTGATCCAGGAGCTGGCATCACCTTGTGCAATCTGGAGATAAATGGCTGCCAGAATTTCCCCCATGTTTATGCAGATCCTAAGGAACGATGAGTTTCTGCCTTCTAGGGCATATGCTGAGGTGCCTAAACCCATTCCTAACATGTGAGTGTGGTGATCCACCTTTGCTAATTACCCAGCTGAGAAGAAGGGTAAATTAACAGGGTGTAGAACTGTATTAACATGGCTATACTATTTCTAAAATCTGAACCAGTGTCTTTGCATGGGGTAGCTCTGAGGACATATCCTTCCACCAGTTGTCTGCAAAATTTTGCAGCTTCTGTAAGGTTATTCTCTTTTGAGAACAATTGAAATAGAAGGTAAATAGATTTCCTAGGTTGAATTTCATGAAGAAGCACTAAAAAAAGAAAAAAAACAGGATTCTGGAGACACATTTAAGAGGAGTGGAAAGAGCAATGATTTTTAAGAACTCTGTAAAAAGATTTTAACATAACATGATATGTTAGAGGAGAGAATAAAGGATTCTAATCACATATTGGAAAAAGTAATTTGTTGTGATGAAAGAGGCATAATTATTTTTCCACCTGTAAATAGACCCTTTCGCTCTGTTCTCTTGAGAAAAAAGTTGGTTTAAGTGAGGTTCTTCCAGCTTCTTTTTTAACATCTATTTTGTCTGCTTGCTTATAGTTGTTATAAGAAGTCTCTGAAGTGCTACAGAAATAGAAGGATTCTCCTAAAAAAGAGGAAACCTATTGATAAAAATAGCAATTTTCAAAAAGAATGATTTGTGGGGCTTTTCTGTAACCACTTATGCAGGTGGAAATGTTTCTAGGAGTGTGAGGAAATAACCATGTGTCACAGCCACAGGAAATGTTGATTTATTTATTGGCTTGGTCAAAATAGCCTTTTGCAGATAGCTCTGAGCCAGACAAGTTTATGGAATGAGCCAGCAGGAAATCATCTTCCTAAGAAGGAGGAACTCACATTTATCTTATAATAATAAGTAGGAAGAGGTCCCTGCAGCCACAAAACCTGGAGAGACTTGCTTTATAGAAGATTAAGGCTGAGATATTTGAAGGGAACAAAGGAAGTTAAGCACTTTCAGTCTTCAGGGTTTTTTTGGAGGAAGGTAGTATTTTTATTTTTCTCCAAAGGCAACCGATACCTAAATCTTTAAATCCTAAATCCTCTGGAAACAATTTTCAGCCATTGGCTTGTCTCATAGTTGTGATTTACAAAAGCTCAAGTTACTGTTACACTTTTTCTTGTACAACTGTAAATTGCAGGAAATCTATGTTTCTGAAGCAGAAGGCAAAAACACCTCTTAAAAAGTGGTGCTTCAGGTTTATCCCATGGGAGTCCACAACAACAGATGTTCTCCACAGCACTTTTTTTCAGTGCTATGGGACTGTATGGGTGGTTACTGGGGGGATTGACTGCAACTCTGATTAAAACTGATGGCATTTTGACAACTTCATCATGGTTGTCAATGTTGTCATGGTTGTCAATAAACACATCAGTGTTCAAGAGGCTTATTGTAGTTATGTTGTAGTCTAGACTCAGCAATTTCAAAGTGAAAGGTTTTGCAAGTGTTTCACAGACTGTGTAAATTGTCAGGGATTTTTTCCTGTGTTTTCTGTTTGGATGAGCCATCTGGAGTCTCAGAGCAACAAAACAAAAAGACAGTGAAATATATAAAATGTTAAGACATTTTTAAAAACAGAAGCTTCATCTGCAAAATAGTGAGATAATTGACCCAAGTTTTACTAACTGTATTTATGCTTTGTGGCACACAGTTTATTTGCACATTTGAAACTTTTTCCCACCAAAGGCTTATTCAGACCCCCTTTTTACTCTCTAGATAGAATCCTCTCCTTGCTACCTGTTGACCGTAAGGATCATCCGGATGAGAAATCTCCAGCGAGTGGATGCCTGTGAGTATCTCCATTCTTAGTGGTAGCTCAGGAAACAGGAAAATCATATTTTTTATAGTTTTGTAACAATCTTTTCTTAGTGTTTCTGAAATAACCCAGTGTTTATGTAAATTAATTGTTACAAACCAGGTCAGTCCTTGCTGCTTGCTGCATTTGTTCTCTCGCTGCTTTCTCACTAGTTTCAAGACTTGAACGTGTTTCTGGGAATAAATACTTTCTATCAAAGAAAGGAGAGTTTCTGTCAGAGGTAGATGAAAGACTCCATTCCATGTTTTCAAAAACAAGGGGTAATTCTGCTGATGGGTAGTAGCACCTTGGGAAATGTGGCTGGGAGGAGCAAACCTTTTCAACATCCTCAGTCTCCACTCTGACAAAGATGAATTGAACAGGAAAAAGCTTTTTACAATCATTACCACCAGGCTAATGCCACCATTAATTACCCTGAAAGAACAGTTAAAAAAAACGTTCTGAGGGCTGGATGCCCCATCCTTTCTAAGGCTTCTGCAGGAGTCTTGCAGTTGTGCAAGAGTGTGAATCTCGTGGCAGGAAAGTGGTGGGAAGGGAGTAGGTTGGAAAGGAAAACACCACTGTTTTGTAAAAGAACGTGGACTATCCACATGTGTGCTGAGGAGAGGTGTTTCACACAAAATTGACACATTAATTGTTTGTTTTATTTGAGTAAATAGATTTACGTGACTGCCTGTGGAAGGATGCTGAAATTAGTTTGAGAGTGAGCATGGAAGGGAAATGACGTAACCCTCATGATTCTCTTGATTCTCCTGTTTCACTGTGAGCAGCAGTGATTGGCTCTATAATGTCTTGCGCATGAAGAGTCAGGAAAGATTTTCTGATTGACAAAGATCTGGATTTACCATGCGGTACCATTCCTGTCTTACCTTGTGGTTGTCACGTGTGTTTCTGGAAGGTGCACCAGAGGACTTCCCGGTGTCACAGCGCTGACTGAGGGAGACAACAGCTGTATCCTAGGTCACATCACTGGGCTGCACGCTCTGCACCTCCCTCCTGGTCCACAGCTGTGGCACATGTGTAGTGAAGCAAGAACACTGAAAGGTCTCATCAGGGACTCAGATCATCTGCATGTCAGGCAACCAGGCAAATAATGAGGTTATAGAAAGAGGTTGTGCAAGCAGAACTGAGGCAACATTTTGCATTAAATACACAGCTGACTGGTTTGGCTGCATCTACTCATATAATTAAGGATTGCTTGATATGCTTTGTATCTCAAAGTACAGTTAAGATACAAGAATGATGAATCACATCAGCAGAATAAAGTACTTGCCAGCCAAACAGCCATCAGTCATTGATCTCAAATGATAAAGCCAAAGTCATATAGTAACCAAAAATCACTTTTAATGCATTTTAAAATCAGTAGCATTACTTCTAGATTCTCCAGATATATTCAAAAGCATATTTTTGCAGTTTCAAAGTTCTTCAAAACATTATTGTCTGCATGGAGTTTCCCAGATTAAAAAAAAAGAAATAAAAACACTTATGCAGGTGGAAAACAGAAACAGAATAACAACTAAAACAACTTTTACATTCAGGGGGACTGAAAAGGCTACAGTCCTTAAGAGTGAAATTATTGAGGAGGGCATGGAAGCTCTCACTGCAAAAAAGGAAGAGGCAAAGAAAGTGAATAAGAATAAGGAGTAATTTTTCACAAGGTGACTAAGAAACAAGATTGGTGGGAAGGTAGAATTAAAGCAGATGATATGACTTTAGACAGGTACAGTGAAATTGCTGCCAGAATCTCATTTTTAAAGCCAAACTAAGATGTAAAATAGAGCAGGAGGGGGAGAAGGCTAGGGCCTACACCATATTTTCCAAACAAACTTTTCCATCAGAAGAATTTTTTTTTTACTCAGGAATATCGTGATTTCTCCACAACTTTTTTTAGAAAAAAGATTGACAGAATTAAACTTTGTTACTGTTGTTTCTGCATTATAATTTTAAAAAGGAGAAAAGCAATAATTAAGGTATCTATTGACCTATCACAATGCATACATAATTTTTCAAGCAGTTCTGGATTTTTTTCCACTCTCACTCAGACAGAAAAGCAGCAAGGCTTCTTGAACACTTTCAACAGCATAAAATGCAGCCTCAAACCAGTTTGAGATAGTCTGTAGCTGTAGGGTGACATGGGGCAAAACTTGGTGGAGAAGGAAAGGAAAGAAGATAAAAAAGGGTCCTGTTGCAGACAGGCAAGATTTTGCTTGTCTCCACAGGTCAGTGTGCAAGCTCTTGTTCCCTGCCCTGCCTGCAGAGTCCTTACCTGCTGCTGCAGGATCATCTCCATTTCTGCTGCCATCACTGGTCTCTCAAAAGTCTCACATCACAGGACATCCATTCCCAAAGCTGGTTACCTTTTGCACTACATAATAGCTGATAATTTTATTGATGAGAACAGAATCAGAGAGATTTTCAGAGTGCTGAAGTACCTTGCATAACCTCCAAGAAGAAACACAGTAAATGGCATTTTTGTCTGTAGCTGTTTGAGTTATACCTCAGTTTAGATGCCTGTGAGAAAGGGGATGTAAAATCCTTCACTACTTTCTCCTGGTGCCTTTTAGGAGAGAGACTTGGTCTCTCTCTTCCTGTAGGTGGCAATTAGTTAAATTCCAATGTCTAATTCAATAAGCTCCTTTTGGAGGAAGCCTCTGCTATCTCATACAGCAGGTGTAGTTCTGCAGCTCCTTTCACAAACCATCACAAAGAAGATCACTGAGAGCAAGGCAGAGATGAAGACCTTTTTCAGTTCTCAAAAAGTGGAGGAGGGTCCCAGCCCCTCTTACCAGACAGCAGCTCAGGGGTTGGTATGTGTGTGCAAGCATACATGAGCACAGGAAAGCTTGTTGGCTGAGAAACTGTAGTGGCTGATTAGAAGAAAAAATTCTCAACCTCTTTTTTTACACACAATATCACTGTTGTCTGTTATTGTCCTGGTTTAGGAACATGTCATGCAAGGAAGGACAGAAACCACCTCCTCTTCTAGGTCATCTTGTGGTCAGTGCTTTTTCTCTCTCAGAAGGGAATCTTGAGAAGTTACATTGCATTGGATTTTTCTGTCTTTAAATAACTTCTGCTTGTTTTTGGTACCAGCTGCTGCAGTAACCTTTCCAGTATCCTGCAGCACTGCTGCCTTTGCCATGTTAGCAATTGTTTTGCCTCTCCCCTCCCCAGTAAGCCAGGCTGATTGCTACGTGTCCCTGTGGCTGCCAACGGCGACGTGTGAAAGGTCACGCACTAAAACTGTGAGAAACTCTGACAATCCAGTGTGGAACGAAACCTTCTACTTCAGAATCCAGAGTCAGGTCAAGGTAAGGAGCCAAAGTTGTCTGTTTGAGGCAGCCTGAAGATTTTGTGTATCTTCTGAACTGTGCCCAAGAATTATTTAGGAGATGGCACACGATAGAAGACTGCTCAAAGCATTTAACAGCAGAGATGACAGAGTTCCTGTGTCTGTTCAATGGTGTTACGTAGGAGGGCCAGAAAGCAAGCTCGGTTTTGAAGTTTTAGGGTAACAAGAGACTCTTACGAGTCAGTGCAAGATGACAGACTCTGTGAGTTACCCAAGCAGCTGTATAGGTATAGCCAATGTGTTTTGTTACAGCAATTAAAATGATCTAGGCAATGAATATACAGTTTAAGTATGTTTTTCTAAAGGGGGATGGTATTTAATTTCTCAACTTTTCTTCTCAAGTACATCCTCAGCAATACTTTTGCCTGGAGCTAATGATGTCCAGCCTGAGAAACTGTAACAAAATCTTCTCCCTCTTTTTCCAGAACGTGCTGGAGCTCACAGTGTACGATGAGGATTTTGCTACTCCAGATGACCATCTACTCTGTGCACTCTTTGATACTGCGAAACTTCCACTTGAAAGAACAGTGATCCTGTACTTCAAGCCTAGCCCAGATGTGAGAACAACTTAGCAACTAAAGCAGCTAAAGCAACTATGAAACCAGTGGAGAGTTACAGAGCAGTTTCAAAATTTTTTCTGAACCTGCCATGGATTACTTATCCCAATAATGAGTGCATGAATTGCCATTCAAATTATAAGCACAAAAATATGGTAAAAAAAAAAATCTGAATTTGAGAGTCTGAATTCCCCATTGCAATATTTTATAAATTATTAAAGACCATAGGACTGAAACAGTGCAGTAGGTAGGGGAGGGGTCTAATTGTGAGCTACCTCTGAGCAACACCAAGGTCATACAGCTGTTGCAGGGTGAACAATCTGTATACTTTTTTCACCATGGAATTAATAATCTGAGTAATTACTATAATTCATAACCCCCTGCCCCTTTACTTGTGTCTACTGTCACTCCAAAAGGCAAACATGAAGTTGCCCCAGTGTGTGTCCCACTATGAATGGATAATGATTCCCTCTGTTTCTGTGTCATGTCTATAAAATGGGAAAAATAATCTTGATTCCCTTTGAGATCTAAGGATGAGATCAGCAAAATATCTTACATGCATCTTACATGCATTACAAATATCTTCTTGCTGCCAGGGACAAATTCTGGTATCCAAACTAGGTCATTCACAACCAGCTTGTACAATCAGCACTGCCTTACTCGGGCTTGCATAACACTGATTCTGGATCAGTCACTTATACTGTTCTCTGTTTATTACTGTAAAGTAATGGGTGTAAAGTATGTTTAATTTCCAAGATAATAGCTAGTAGAGTAAGTCATGGCAGGACAGTGCCAGGAATAGTTGGAAGAAAAGGGTGGAATTCAGGAAATAAGGGAAGCTGCAAACTGTTTTTCTGCAGCAGCTTCACACCAAGAAATAGAAGTATAGGTTGTTTTGATGATATCACAAAGTCAGAAGGAGATGAGGAAGGAATCATTTAATCATCTGGCTGAAATATTGATTCAGACCACCCAGTCTGAAGTATTTATCACAGGCAATCACATTGCCACCAGTAACTTCAATATTACCTATTAGGGACTTGGGTTTAGACAAGGGACAAAGCATTATGTAGCTGCTTCATTTAATATCTTGTTCTTGCTTTCAGGCCAAGGAGGAACTAGAGGTTGAATTCAAATTGGAGGTTGCGTAAGTGACACAGAGACTATTTTAAAAATGCAAAAATCATTAATGATAGAACAAAACAAAAAACCCTGCAGTATTAGAAGTCATGCTTTGGGTTTTTCTGTAAAAAAAAGTAGCCTTCTCCTACATTATTGCTGCAGTCCCCAACACCTGACTGATTAGCTTGTTCTGTAGCTTAGCTGCTCTCAACAATACACCTACCAGTTATCCAGAGAACTGTGTGGATGCCCCATCCCTGGAACTGTTCATGCTGGATGGAGCTTTGAGCAACCTAGTCTAGTGGAGGATGTCCCTGTTCATGACAGGGGATTGGAAGTAGATGATCTTTTAAGATCCCTTCCAACCCAAGCTAACATTCTATGATTTATCTACCTGGGGACATTTCAGAAGGCTTTCTGAGTGTGTGAGCATTCCTGCCTATCAATTTTCCATTGCCTGTTTCAGGTTATGTATTGGATGCAGTTTTAGTGCTGAAACATACTAGTTAGGTTTTCAGTGTATCTCCAATTCCTCCAGTTTTCCCTTGCAGTACTCTGAATTCTAGTAATTGTGTTTTCTTTCTGCCTAACACAATCACAATGGGATGGGAACTCTTGTAACGATGTAAGGCTCCTTCTCCAGCATGGTCAGCCTGCCACCCATGAATCACCATTTTTGTCTCTGTGTTGCCACGAGGTAACTAAGGCCTGGCAGAAATAAAGTGACTAGTCTAAGGCCAGCCCTCCTTCTTAGGGAGCCAAGGCCAGAAGTCAAGTCGCTCCACACCATCTCCTGACTTCACCTGAATGGTCTGGAAAGCTTTTGGTTTTTTCCCACGTAATTGGTACTGGCTGCCCTGTGCCACTTTGAAACAGGCTTCCCAGGAAAGTGGTCACAGTACCAAGCCTGCCAGAGTTCAGGAAGCATTTGGACAATGCTCTCGGGCACATGGTGTGAATCTTGGGGTTGTCCTATGCAGGCCAGGAATTGGATTCAGTGATCCTCATCGGTCCCCGTGCAAGTCAAAATATTTGCATGCCAGCAAATACATATAACTGTATTCCCAACAAAGACATGCTGGTGTATTGGCTGAAATACATTTATTTCACATGTTTCAGTAAGAAGAGTTTGACTGCCTGACAGGAGATTCCATTTTAGATGATTGCACTGTAAAAAAACAACCATGCTACACATTGTCTCCTTAGAGCAGTGCTCAGCCCATGCAAGCAAGGGAAGGAGCTTGTTACATACTTGCTGGGGTCTCTCAGACTCTTGTTTGTTTAAGTGGGAAGAAAGGGCAACATCCTGGGTAAAGATGAGAGGGATTTGTTTAAGTCAAAAAAATCCATATTTTTCATTTTGTTTGCCAGACCTGGTCCTCATGAGATGATTGCTAGCAATGGAGTGCTGGTGGTATGTATCTTTCCCAAGATATTTTCTTTAAATGATTCCTTAATGTAAGGGAAGGGGAGGGTGGAGGTTAGGCTCATTCTTTCTCTTTCTTTCCTATTTAGATACATTCAAAATGGGATATTTTATTTACCTGTTCATTGAAGATATCCCATTTGTCCTATACTTCCTTGTTTCCGATTTTTCCTATACTTCACCGCACCACACACACCACACACCCACATGCATGCACACATATACACACAGAATTTTTCTCTGGTACTAGTACTTCAAAAAATGTACTGCTGTCTATCAGAACTCAATGATACAAAGGCTGTGAAGTCACTTTTTTATAATCTACCCAGCCCTTTCCTTCCCTTGGAGATGAGCCATGCTCTGTGGGTAAGTTCTGCATGAAATACTGACTTGTCAAAAATACATTATATTGAAGAAGAATGAACACCGCAAAAAAAAATCAATCCCCAAAATGCTAATAGCAATGCTTCTTCAGAAAACCCTTCCTACTACTGACTCTTGATCTCTCAGTGACATATCTTTATGTATTTCCTAGTTTAACCCTTTGTATTTATGCTACTATCATGAAAATGGTCCTGATTTTCTTCTTTTGTGTATTTCTCTCACTGTGCTCAATCTTAAGTCATTGTCACACATGGAATTCCTACAACTCCCTCCAAAGATTTTCTTTTTCATTAGTCAGCAGCTAATGGGAAAAAGCCCAGAGATGCCAGGGAATTCAGAACTCCAAGTTACTCCCAGCTGAGGGGTCCACAGGTCCCTATAATGAGGATGGGATGTGATGGTCTTTCTCACAAAATCCTGCAATCTGTCTTTCACAGTGTCGTGAACTTTGCTGCTTGGAAGTTGAAGTGGCAGAGAAGACGAAGCAAAAATCAAGTAAGGTTTTTGCTTTGTTATCTATTTACCAGTAGTTGTTGCATGCTTACATATGAGGAGATGCCCCTTTCATATAATGGGTTAGTGAAATAAACAGTGCTTACAGTGTTCAGTGAAGTTAGTGGCAGGTAAACACATTAGGTTGTTATAGACAATGACATCATCCAGATACATGTTAATAAGGCCTATTAAATGCACAATAAAGTTGAAATCCCAGTTCTATATCACAGCAGGAATATTCAGAGTCCCCTTTCTATCAGAAGAGCATCCACTTTGCTCCTTTCACTTTAGTTCCAGCACTTTGCTCTGGGCAAAGCTGTGCCACCTGCACCCCAGTTTTAATCAAGCTAGCACATTTTTCTGGTTAATCGTATTAACGTTTGTCATCTTTGTTTTGCTACTTTAGAGAAGGAACTTTCCCTCACTGTGAAGGGCTCCTTCCAGGGGACTCAGGATATCATGCTGGGCCCCAATGGAGTTGTCAGCCCGTCGTGTCCCATCGAGTTCCACTACATCAAGTACGCAGAGCCAACCCTGGATGTCATGCTGCCAAAGAAGAGGCGCTACCACCCTGTATGTTGGAGTGGCCTCGGTGATGGAGGGATTTTCAGTGGCTCTCAAGAAAGTGGGAGGAAGGAGAGGGTAAACCCATTCCTGGTTTTGTCCTAAAGCTTGTTGTTTTGCCAGTGGTCCTGCAGGTACAGCACAGAGACGGGCTCCCCAGTCGTGATGCTGAACTCGCTGCCCATGGGAAGGAAAACAACCATTGCAGAGGTAAGCATCACTTCCAGGTGTTGGTAATAAAGGGTCACTCAAACAGAAACAGTTCCTCACACTGTTGTCCCAGATGGCTGCTAAGAGTATCAGAAGTGTTCTGATTTTTGATTAGACTTTGAGAAAACAAGAGCTTTGTTTCTCCAGATGTTTTCTCCACAGAGGCAGGTGCACAAATACTGTACTAATCTCCAGTACGTGCCACTAGTAGAGACAGAGACCTACAAAGACGTAAGAAAATATCATACTTCCTTCAGAACATCTCTCCCTGTTTACCCAAAGACTTACTGACTCCCCCTTTGCTTAGGATCCAAACTGAAAGTTGCTTCTTGGGCACAGAAGAGGAAAATATCAGTAAACCTGTCCTTAGTCAACCATATATTTAAGAGGACAATATATTGAAATAGGCTGAAAATATTAGTCATAGAGTATGTATTTTAAATAATATAATGAGAATATTGATTTAAAAGAGCCATTAAGATATCCTCTCAGAACAAAACACATTTAATCACTTAATAGGAAGGTTGAAATAATGATTTTTAAGAGAGGATAAAGTGTGGGCAGAAGCAAATGCAGACTTTGCAGTCTCTTAACTGTGAGACTATGGCCAGGATGTCAAAGCTGTGCTGTGTACTAGAGCATGAAGAATGGAACACACAAACAATGGTAATTCAGAGTGCTGCAGAAAGCTTATGAGTAGTACAGGAAGTGGGAGCTGCTGCATGAGTCTCAGAAACCTCTTATACCAGGATGCTTAATGGTTTCTGCAGCCTGGAAAGATTTAGGATCTGTAGGTAGGGATATTTCACTAATAAGTAAATGCTTTTGGAAATATATGCCAAGATCTCAGACATTAAAGCTTGTGATTGCCAGACCTTGCTGGGGTATAAATCAAGCTCTGACCCCAAGACAGAAAGGGAAAATATAAAATTCAAAATTAAAAAATTACACATTCTTGTTTTCCAGGAGAAAAGATTTGACTTGAATGTGACAGCAAAACCTTGGTAAGAAATTTTCTTCTATTCCTTAAGACTTGGTTCATGGATTTTGATATTGTTTTAGCCACATGGAAATGACACAAGCAAGCATTCTCAGTCTGAAAACTAGAATGTGCTTATAATAAAACATAAAATACATGCACAATATATAATACATATTAGCCATAAGATTTGTCTTTAATCAGTTGATGAAGCACTGAAATAAACATGTATTTATTTCAGCATTATCCCTTTCCTTCTGACCACAGAATTTTTTCTTTGGTCAATGTCAGTCTCTGGAATTCACAAAAACAACAAAGCTAGCTGGCAACAACAACAAAAAAGAATAGTCAGATGTAAAAGTTTAATTTAATCAGGAATTAGGAATTATTTTTTGCCTTACTATCAATATTCAGCAATGATGAACCTTGTATTCTGTTAAGTCCACTTATATATTGAGTAGAAACTAAGGTAGACAAGTTAACTTGTGCTTTGACATCTGTAGATGTGTCATTGATACTCATCAGTAAACATGGAGATACTTCAGGTTATCCATAGCTGTATGGAACACACAGAACTGAGCAAACTGGTATTTTTATGTGCGTGTGTCTGACTAAGAAAGAAAAGGAAAAAAATAATTTTGAATTCAAACTGAATTTTTTGTCATTCATTTCAAAACAGCAAGTGGACAGTGATAACAGGAAAATCAGTGTTATTCCACAACAGGAAAAACACCTCCTGCTTATTTATTTTACTTTCAGTGAACTTTAGAAGCAGTTTGTTTGGATCTTGATTTACAATAGAAACTGGCTTTTGCAGCTCCACCTAACTCAATTCCCATTGTGTGTATTCATTTACAAATAAAGTTATAATAATTTGTCTGATTTTATCCAAATCTGGTGGTGGAGAAAGTTCATAATTACATTTCTTTACTAGTTTCATAGAAATTATGGACCCAGTAGAAGAGAGAGGTTCTGTCTTTGGAAGAAAATGCAAACCCCTGGCATTTGACAATGCCTGGCCAGGTAGCTCTGACCTGACCATGACCGTCTCTTGCCTATTGATGTCTTGTAGGAGCAGGGCAGGAAGGGCCAGGAGGGAGATTAGTGGGCAGAAGAGCACAAATGCCCAGGGAAATAAACTACAATTGTGGTCCCTTTAGGAATGACTTACTCGATTTCAAAATAGACACCAGTGAAGTCTTCCTCTGGGAGAGGATATGCCTTACAATTTTTGAGTCAAGGCTGATGTAGAATAGAACTTCCAGCGTTGACCCCTGGAACAGCCTGTGCAATAGTAGCCACAGCAGAGCTGCAGGGCTGGAATCCTGCCCCGTGACCCATCTCTGCCCATCCCGGGGCTGGGTGTCCCCGAGGGTTCCCAGCCAGCCTCCCCAGCGGTGCTCACCGCTAGAGGGGGATGCCTTCCCACTCCACTTGCTCAAAAGGAGAATTTTCATTCACATTGAAAATGCCAGTCTTTGAAAATTGAGTGTTATTTTAGATTTCGAATGAGAAAATAACCTGTGAAATAGGAATCGATACTTTTACTCTTGAGCATCTGCATGGATTTTCTAAACTTGTCGGTGTTTTAGTTGTAGAATATTAATTTAATTTTTTTTAATGGTTTCTTCCAATTAGCAATAATTGGGCATAATGCCATTAGTTAATCTTACTAATTGACATAAGTTTCTTACTTTTAAAAACAGTAAAATTGTTCTCTCTTGCTCCTGTCATGTTGCATCATCCTGTTTGAAGGGAAGGGTCCTGTAGATTATCTTTGATCAATGCCCTAAGATTATGGTGTGTCAATATTTAATATATGTGTCTTTTTTTATCTTAGTAATTGCTCATGCCACCAAGACCTGGACATGCGCTTTGGGTTTAACTTATGTTCTGAAGAGATGGCTTTCCTGGGGAAGAGAAAGAGATATGTAGCAAGTGCTCTCAAAAATGTTTTTCACCTACCACACGATCTGCAGGATCAAGAAGTACGTGTGTGCTGAGGGAAGAGAACTTGAATCTCTAGTGCTTTCTTGTACTCCTGTAAATGAGCGGTCAGCAAAACAGGCCACACGTATCTGTTGTGCAGGTACCAGCTGGTCCATGTGTCTTGAGTACATTTGCTTCTGCTGCCAAGGTCTGTTGTTGAAAACACTAGCTGCAGTCACCATCCCGCAGTACTATCAATTTGGAATTTCTCATAGTTGAGGTGTGTTCATTCCTGCCATGCTGAGCTAATAACTGGCTTGATTCAGAAATACTGGATATATTACACAGCAAAGATTTTTTTTCCCTTTTTCCAGTTTTACTACTTTGTGAGAGTTTAGGACTAACATCTTTGAGTGCTTCTTATATCTTCTGTTTCTTGCAGTTTTGAAATTCCTTAAAATAAATATAATTTATTTTAAAATAACTTCAAGATACTGAAGAATAACAGTACTGCTGAAGGTAGCTTAACAACAGTGGCTGTGAACTGAGTGTATTTCTTCATGGGATTGGCATGCAGATTTTCATACAGAAGTAGTCAATTTGTGAAATAAGAAGAGTGGTGGAATGAGAGATGCATAGAAAATACGTTGTTGCTTCCACAGGATGTTTTTTCTTGTTCATCTGTGCCTGTATTTGCCCTAGAGATGGGCAAGAATCCCAAGTTTGGGTTAATCTATGAACCAAAGGGAAATAAGTGGCAGTAGCAGTTGTTGCTTGGTTTTGGAGTCTTTCCTTCTGAAAAGGGACCTGGGCTCTGAGATCGGGACCTGGGCTGGCTGTGGTGACCAGACCCCATTGCAGTGTGGGTTGCAGTGCTGAATGCTACCAGTGTGCATGTCCCATCCTCCCTGTGCCCAACAGGTCCCTGTTGTGGCTATCATCACGACAGGCGGAGGGCTGAAGTCAATGACAGGATTGTATGGCAGCCTCATGGGACTCAAGAAGTTAAATCTCCTGGACTGTGTGACATACATCAGCGGGCTGTCCGGCACCACATGGTAAGCCAGCTTGAGCAGGAGGCCTGGTCAGGCCTTTTGATGGTCACACTGCTGCAGAGAGTAGCTTCTTTGAGGGTCACACTGCTGCAGAGAGTAGCTTCTAAAAGCAGATGAGATCAGGAGCTTTTCTTCAAACATCATATAAACAAGTTTCTCAGTAACAGGCCATTAAATACTAGCTCAATTTGGTGCACACTTTTTCTATAAGCAGTTCTTTACTGTGCTTGTCAACTCCACACGTGCAGCAGTTAAATGTGTACATGACAATTACACTCATCAAGATGCTTTCTGGGAAATAGTTACTGTGGATGTAACTGTGGATGCCCATATCATCATGCATCTTCCTTTCTCCACTGAATCCCAGCTGTTGTGGTCCCATTAACTTCCAAGACTGGCTCTGATTTCCAGCTGGAAAGAACTGCTGGACAGTGCACACTTACCCCTGCAACCTGCCAGTTTTGTGTTTCTCTGGGCAGTTTATTCCCTGCTCACAGAATCTAAGGCTGCCTAATGTCTGATTGTTCCACGCAGAGGAGGTTGGTAAAATAGAGGATGATGTTAAAATAAAGCACAGTGATACCATAAGATTAACACTAAGTGAATCGAGCCAAGAGGCAGCTGCTAATATGAATGAGTTTAAGGTTCTGAAAAACAAACAAAGAAAATTTATTATAATTCTTTGTGCTTTACAAATATACCTATGTTCACACATGGCAGTTTTATCCCTTAACCTTCTGCCAGTTCTGCTTAAATAAAAAAATAAAAAAAAGGTCAAGAACATAAAAACCCCACCTCATTCTTCAGGGCCATTTTGAAAAACTGTCATAGAAATTCTAGAGTGTTCATTCTGCTGGATGGAGCAGCTGAACCAGAGTATGTGTGAGCAGAAGGGAATCCCTGAATGTAAACTTCTGTTCTCAAAGCACATTTCCAGTCTTTTTTTGCTCCTTTCGACTTCTGTATTGTCTTTCTCCAGGACCATGGCCAACTTATACAGAGATGCCTACTGGTCACAGAAGGACCTGGACTCACATATTGGTGAAGCCCAAAAACAAGCAACAAAATGCAAGATGGGCTGTTTCTCCATGGATCGCATGAAGTACTACAACAAGCAGCTTTGCCAGAGGAAAGAAGAGGGATACAGGACATCATTTATAGATCTTTGGGGTCTCATGATTGAGTACTTACTAAACGATGGGGTATGATATATATTCCATTTCTTAAAGAACCATGTGTTTTCCCCTTAGTGGATGGAGAGGAAACTAGTCCATCATTTCAGAGAATGTGCCTCAAAGCAGAGGGGAATTCTCTATGTTAACAAAATAGCAGATTTTTAAGACTCCTTTAATAGTTTACTTAGAAATAAATGCATCCTATGTGCTAATAAATTCAGTTGTGTATGCAGCCATTTCAACTCTGGCTGGTATTTAAGTGGAAGTGAAGGCAGTCTTGGGAAGTGAATCTGAGATGCAAATTACTCATGCAAAAAGAGTTCAAAATGCAAAGAAGAGTAATCTCAACAATGTGAAAACTATCTCAAGCAATCCTGAAACAGCTAGAATGCTCAGTGAGTTGCATCCACTGGCAGGAAACTTGATATGCAAATACAGTGGAGGCAAGTACATATTTTGCTTTTCCTCAGAAGCACTGCTCACATGGTTTAAGTGATACTTATTTTTTATAAGTAATTTCAAATTTGCTTTTCTGTTACTTGAAGGGGTTTCTACCCCTACAGTAAAGCAGTCCACTTCCTTTTCTCCCCAAGGGGATCACAATTACAGGATGTGTGCTTCGGCACTTGGAAAATGGGAAAGGATGAGTGGTTGAGGATTGAGCAGAAGTGTCCTCCAATGGGGGCAGAAATCCTACAGTTGTTCAACCATTTATTTGGGTTTATTTTTATGTAAGTACATATATAGCATTATGTATATGTAAACAGAACATAAATGCATAGAGAGGAATACTAGGTATTAAACAAAAGTGTGAGCTAAATAGATGCCTCTCTTTTAATCTCAGCTAGATGTGGTCCCCCTTGCAATTTAACCAAGCATTTCCCCGTTTGAGCAGTGCTGACTATTTCTGTGTAGCCATTAAGCTCTCCTGAACCTTCCAGAGCAAGCTACTCTTAAATTTTCCAGTACTTCATGAGATTTCATGTTTTTTATAAACCTCTTCAATGAGAATATGCTTTTTCAGAAAAGAAGCCGGGTGGGGTGCAATAATTTGCTGCCAAATTTCAGTCCCTTTGCGAGGGTAGACTGTGATAGCTGTCGTGTGGTAGAAAAGGAAGTTAAGTATCAACATGCTCAAGGGCTTCCTTCAGATTCAGAAGAGCAAGGATGGCTCACTACACTCCTCAGCCTAAGGAGCAGCCCACCCATCCTTCTACTTGTCAGGACAATACTTCCTGGGACTTATAGAGGTGTACAGAAATAGTTGTCTCCCTCCTTATCTTTCTGGAGATAGATAGGAGCTGGAGCCTGGGAGCCTGCTCAGGGATGGTTGGTGGGGGTACCTGCTGTGCTCTGCGTGGTGGAGCAGCCAGGGTGCGTCCTGCGTGCTGGGGTGGAACTTCCCAGGCTCCTCCTGCACTGGGGCCAGTGTTTGTTTCCATCTCCTCTCACGTAGCACTTTTTCTTCAAAACCAGAAAGACCCCCACAAGCTTTCAGAGCAGCAAGAAGCACTGTGTGATGGCCAGAACCCACTGCCCATCTACGTGTCAGTCTGCGTCCGGGACAGTTACAGCACCAATGATTTCAAAGGTAAGGATGTTGTTTCAGATCCTCTGAGGCTAAAATTGGCAGCTAAATTCCCTTCATCACTCTTCTCTTCGTGGTAGCGCTTGGAGAAAACAATCCTGATGTGTTAGTTGCTTTTTGGAGAAATAACCATCACCTCCATGCCTTACAATTTGAATACAAGGGTTTTGGGGAGCAGCATTTCACTATCTAGACATACACAGTAGAAATTCTGCCAGAAAGACTGTTTTGAGAAATACTGGAATTATTCTATAATTCAATTGATAATTGAATTATAATAATTCAATTATCAATAATTCAATATAATAATTCAAATATCAATAATTCAATAATTGCTTTTTCTCAATGGCTGTTATTGTTTCAATATGAAGAATGACCACGTAGTTATGATAGAATTTGGGAAGGCTCCTGACTGAATCTGTTGCTTTTCTCATTGTTTTGTTTGTTTGTGTTTCTTTCCTATGGAGGATCAGGAGGAGAAGGGGAAGAGAAAAATTCAGATCAAATTTTTTTTACTGTTGAGGCAAGAAAATGAACCATTCCTGAATGAAAATGAAATTATGGTTCATGACATTTCTGTCCCAGTTTTCATTTATGCTGGGGTTATATCAGACGACTGCACTTCACTTGGAGAAGACATCCAAGAAAGTCAAGAACTAGTTCTCGGTCTATTAGTATCACACACAGACAGTATAATTGGTCTCTTACAGAAAAAATAATTTCTGAAGAGCTGACTACCCATCTTTGTACATAAACAATTATTTAGGGAAGATAAATTAACTGTATTGGTGAAGCACTGTCACCTGGACGTGGTGTATGGAAGGGCACAGCAAAATTGCATGCGTGCTGGAAAACCCTGGATGGTGTGTGAACCCTTGAGGGTGTGCAAGGCCTGGAGCCTTGCCATGCCCCCAGTGTGCCACCAGCAGCACCAGCATGACCAGCACAACTGCTCCTGCCTCCTCATCCGCCACCATGCCCAAGCTCAGACGCCTCCCTGGAGATCTGCGTTTAAGAGTGAGGCTTTGCAAAGGCAGCATATTAAACATAACTGAGACCAATGTATGCCCCAGCTTCCCCTCTCCTCACACCTGTCTGGGAGCCCTCTAAGTGTCCCGTTGTGGCTGTATTGCAGAGTGGGTGGAGTTCACGCCCTATGAGGTGGGACTGCTGAAGTACGGCGTGTTTGTTCGCACGGAGCATTTCGGAAGCGAGTTCTTCATGGGCCGCTTGTTAAAAAAGCTCCCTGAATCCCGCATCTGCTACCTTCAAGGTGATGTATAGCGTTGTCCTGACACAGAGGCACTTGAGGGGGTGAAATGCTGTTAACCAGTGGGTAGATAGTTCTGTCCTAACATACTGAACACTGCCTGCAGGGAAATGGGAGTGGTAGTTTATCCAAAAGAATACAGTAAAGCAACCCACAGATTTTTCCAGTTTCTTGGCACTGTCTTGGTAGATGAATTGTCTGTGTCTTAGAGATGGAATAGATGAAGATCCTTAATTCTTTCATAGTAAGTAATAGCTCCCACTTCTTTGGTTATTATGGTTTCTCTCTGAATGCGCTCCAACCTAAGTCCAATTGGATTAGTCAGATTTAAATTTACAATGACTGGTGATATGGTGGCACTCTGTTTTGTCAACAAAGCCACCAATGCCCCTGTGGCGAGGCTGAGAGGGGTAATCCTGGATGGAGAAAAGAGTGCACAGTGGAGCTGGAGCCCACTGCATGTGTGAGCCTTTACAAGCTGTGGTGTGAGATCTCATCTTACAAACATCTGACAAGTCACTTCATCCCCTTGTGAAACAATTCAGGGTGTCAGAAAGAGTTACTGATCAGAGTAAGTGCAGAAAAAGACAAGCTAGAGACAGGAAGATGAGGATGGAAATGATGTGTTTGTAGTCTATGTGTTATCTGAATTTTTTGTTTTGCCTCTTAAGCGTATCTTTTTTTCTCCTTTACTTGCCTCAGATTCTTTGCTCTCTTTACCATGTGGCAGAGCCGTGTAGTAGGTTAGGTACGAAGTTGATGGTAGCATGACTTGAATCAGTGACAAAGAAAGTTAAGAGGATTTTAACAGCATGGAAGGTTAGAAATATCTCTGTTAGTCCCATTCAAAAATTGAGCCAGGAGGTCAAAATAGAAGTAGAGGGCATTTTCTTGTTAAAATATGTCCTTGTGTTCACTAATTCCTTTTACAGGTATGTGGAGCAGTATATTTTCTGTGAACCTTTTACAAATATGGGGACTGTCCCATAGTTCAGAGGACTTCTGGAAGAGATGGACACAAGACAGAATAGATGAAGTTGGTGAGAAATTATTAAGCCTTTAATTTATGGTCATTTATTTTCCTGTGTGGCTTTTGGCATCATCTTGTCAACTTTGCTGAAGCTGGCATCATAGGATCTTACTAAGAGATAGTGACTTCTCCTCACACTGCATAGAGTAATAGGAAGAAGGAAATCAGGGAAAAGCTGCTGTAATTACTAAATTACTAAAGTGCTACTGGTTCCTTTAGAGGAAGTTTTAGAGGGGTCAGACATTTCCCAGGAAGTGTTTTGGCGTTACAGTTCTCACTTAGCCATACAGAACCAAGAACCAACAGCAGAGAATATGGTACTTTTTACTGCCTATACGGAGAATAAACCTGGTTAATCAATGTTTCCTGGGTTTTTATTTTACTACTCAGTACAGTAATTACTGCATTGGATTCATACTGGTAGAAAGATAAATGAGGCCCAGAGGGTATGTTCTGAAGCAATATAGAAACCATGATTTTATTGCTAAATTGCTTGATAGGATAGTAACTATAATTACAGACATCCTGAAAAATACAGAATTACAATGTGCAATCACAGAAACCACCAGGTCTCTCCTGCTGCACTGTCAGCCTCTTGGGCTGGCAAAGCAGATTGTCATTTCTAGAAACCTCACCTTGCGCCACATTTCTGCTTTTCACCCATGTGCCATCTACCCACCCCCTAAACTACCCATAGTTTCTGAATATGAATGTATGCCCCAGGTTTTCCCGGGGTGCTCTCACTCTGCTGATTAAGCATGTGCTCATGTAGCCATGAGTGATCATTGGGTAGCAGCTGTCACTGTTGCAATAGACCCCGTGGTTGCTGGTGTTGCCCATCTGACTGAGCAGTAGCTTATTCATCAGCCCCATTTTCTCCATGCTTGTATCTGTTCCGTGTTATCTTCCGGTGAGGATATTTAACTTCTGACAGAATATTTTCTGAATTGCCTAATTTCCTTAAGGTGTCCTTTTTCCAAGACTAAAGATTGCTTCTGATGGACTGTCTTCAGGCCAAAGCTTAAGACCATCAGCAGAGCTTCGTCCAGCAGCCATTCCTTTCCCTCGGAAGAGTTTGTGTGTGTTTAGTGAATCATCCCGGAAGAGCCCCTGGGAGCTCCTTTGCAGCAGGGCAGCCAGGAAGGAGCACAAGTTAACAAGCAGTTCACCAGTTTTTCTCCCCTCCTCTAGATGAAGACCCGGTGTTGCCCACAAGACCCCACGAGCTGAGGACTCGCATGTACACCCCCCCTGGCGTCCTGTCCAGTGCCCTTCGGGGGGCACTGACCGACCGCTTCTCCGTTGCCCAGCACCACAATTTCCTGAAGGGCTACCAGCTGCACAACAGCTACATGGAGAACGAGCACTTCTGTCGGTGGAAAGGTGATGGCAACTGATATTTAGCTGGCATCATTTTCGGGGAGTTTTGGGGTGGGGAATTCAGGAAAAAAGCCTGTCAGGCTTGGGAGAGAATAAAAATCCTCCCAAGAGGCACTAAAACTTCAGTGTTGCCAGGTATTGAAGAATTAATATTTATATTTGTTTTCTTCAGCTGAGACCTCTGCAGTCCAGACTGAGAGGGTAGACTTGAAGCTGACTGATCCAAATTTAAAGTGGCAGAGAGCAGAAAACATGGGGGAAAGCTTAATTTGGCAAGATTATACCTCTAACTTCAGATGCAGCTGAAATATCCAAGAAAATATCACCTATAAGAGAAAGCTGGAAAGGAATGGGGTTTTCTAGTCCAAAGAAGAGGGGACTGAGGGGGAAGCATAAGTTCAAATGTATACAGGATCGAAAATATTTTGTTCTCCAAATCAATGACAGATAGAAGATGAAACAATAACCAAAATGAAGCAAGTCAGATGTAGGTTAATTATTAGACGTAGCTTACTGGCACTAATAGGTGTGACATGTTAATGCAATATATTGCCTGGAAACACAGCACAGATTTTTCAGAACAGGAACTTAGGTGTTTTGCCGTCCTTCTCATGCCTGTTTGATGGTCTAGTGGTGGGGCAATTAAATTAAACCAGGCCTCTGGAATGATCAGTTCCATCTTACACTTCTCTTTCCAGTCAAAATACCTGCAGATCTATTCTTATTCAAGAATTATTTTTCTTTTAGACACTGTGTTAGACTCACGTCCCAACCAGCTGATGCAAAATCCTGATCAGCTGGGCATGATAGATGCTGGATTTTTCATCAATACCAGCAGTGCACCACTTTTAAGGCCACAGAGGGAAGTGGATGTCATCATCTATCTAAGTTATACTACTGGATCACATACATCGGTGAGGATGGTCTTGTTACCATATGTTGTATCTCCTTTTACTTGTAAATGCCCAGCCTGTAGCATCCAGAACTGCTGGTTGTATCAGTTGTTCAGTTTATAACATCTGCATTGCCCTATATTTTTCACTGTAGTGATTAATACTTTTCCTATTTCTTCCTGCCATTCCTGGACTCTTTCTTACTCATTTATGAACATGTTGAATTATTCAAGGGGGTGTCAGCATGGTCTTTTCCAGAATGATGGGAAGAGCCTCTTCTGCATTATGCTGAATCAAGTAGGCTTCCAGACAGTGCATAGGAATATTCATAAAGATGAGGAAGTGATTTCTTCTGACTTAAGTTAGAATATAAAAAGGCTTAAGTGGATATCAGCAGCAGGTAATTTCTGGGCTGACAAATAAGATGCTACAAGTAAAATTCAGTGATGAGCATCTTCCTGTAGAAAACTCATTTCATGGAGATAAAGTTCATTAGCTGTCTATAAGAGCAGGCAGAAAAGAAGTTTGGATCTTTTTGTGTCAGAAACTGAGGTTAGTTGAAAATTCACTGTTAAGCACTTTGGCCTTCCTAAGTAGAATTACGTTCTGAGAATGAGAACAGCTGTGCTGCTACTAATAAGCACAGCTACTAATAAGCATCTGTTGGATGAGACAGATGTAATTAAGTTTTATTTCAGCCTCATTCATTGTCTAGATAAAACTTAAAAAAAAAAAGGCTGCTGCAATTTTAAGTAGTAGAAACTTTTTTCTGTTTGATAGTGTTCACTATTAGATGGTGCAGCGTAAATAATGTAGTGCATATTAGGACATGATGTTTTATTAAACATTTCAGGAAAAAGATATAGCATAGCCTAATGCTTCAGATTTTTTCAGTAAAATATTAATCTCAATTAACACTGTGCCATAATGACTGCACAGGCAGAGATATAACTGTACATTGAAACTTAACTTTCTTATCTCCTGGCTTCCAAGCACATAAGATACCTTAAACGTTTTCCTGTTGTGATTTCCTTCTCTGGTTAATTCTATATAATGTGTTAACACAGGCTCTTTCATTTGCTGATGCTTTACCCTAAACTTCTGCAAATTGTTTCAATTTTTTTTTTTTTTTAAACAGTGTCCTGGGTGAACTCTTTAATTCTGAAATTGTGTTTACAGGTTGTGACTAGCAATGTGGTTACTATGTGTGGTAATTGTATATAAAGTAACCCTTGATAAGAAGCAATTCACCCTATGGATCTGAGCTACTAAACCTTAATTGTAGATGACAATTTGGGGCCTTTAGACAATGAAGTTGATTACCAGTGCTGACCATTTTTGTGATCCTCCAGTCTCTAGATAAGGCGTGTAAATACTACTCAGAGCAGAAAATCCCATTCCCAACAATTTCTTTGACTGATGAAGATAAGAAAAATCTGAAGGAGTGCTACATCTTCCAAGATTCAGATTTGCCAGGATGTCCAATTGTGATTTTTCTTCCCCTTGTGAATGATACCTTCCAAGAGTACAAAGCACCTGGTAAGTTAGAAGTAGTGGCAAAGCATTGAACAAAAGACACCACTGCTTTTGTGACTCAGGGACTTCTTCTTTGCTGCTGGCTGTCTTTGCTCTCTGGGTTCATGGGGGAGCACTCTAGCTAATTAAACTTGTTTTCCCCATTCCTACCAAAGCTATTATGTTCACTCATGTCTTCATTGTGTCTCTAAGAGAACCAACACAGCCTGTGTCTTCTGGATGGTGTGTACCTTCACCTCTCTCCCATTTGTTACTTGAAGTGTTCCTACCTAATTGCAAAAGCTTTTTTCCCCTGAAAGGTATAGCTCTCTCAGATTATTTCCTGCTGCATATATTGTCTATTGTTCGGGTATTGAATTCTACCCTTGAGGAACCATAGTGTCATGTATGAGTCGTGGGGGAGAAAGAACTTGGCTTTCAGGCTGAACTCCTGCAATGTTAAGATCACTGTGTCTCATTTTGGTTTAGCATGAGCCCAGGGATCATTTTGCTGACTGTGATGTGTTCAGGGCCTGTCACTCTTTTTCTGCCAGGCCACCTGCTTTGTACTCCTTTACTGCAAGTTACTAGGATGCATTTTCTCTGATGCTTGGTAGCAGGGAGGTTAAGCCCAAAATGCTGCTGTTGTGGAATTTGTGTGACACAAAAATCAGAAAGGGAGAGATGGGTCAGGCAGATGCACTGAACCTTATACAGCATTGCAGGAACTCTCCATTTCCACATGTTTTGATTGCTCCTTTCTCACTTAAATTCTGTTCTCTTACTAGCAATTAATCTTCCTCATCTGAGGTTCATGGAAATCCCAGCTGCCCAGGCTAAGACCTGCAGTGCAAGGACATTGGCTTTTGGAGTGCCCTTTCAGGCTGACATCCTTGTCTGATAATGACTTTAATAACTTCAATAAATGGCTTTAATGAGACAGATGTTTCTGAGTAAGCTGTAGATGAACATTGTGATACCATCCCTCACTTTTCTCTTGTGCCCTCCTTACTTCAGACTCACAATATTCTCTTGACTAAGGTGGTGATATATGAGCTACACTGTTTGCATTTAAACCCTATGAACTTTCGTCAGGAGAAAAGTCCTGCTCCTCATGGACAGTTTGACACTGATTAAGGTAAGCATCATGTCACAGCAACAACAACTCTTTCTCTCCAGGTGTGAAGCGCTGTTGCTCAGAGATGGACGAAGGCCAGCTTGATTTGACCAGCTGCTGTTCCCCCTACTGCATGTTCTCTGTCAGATACACCGATGAGAACTACCGCAAGCTGCTGAATCTCAGCGAGTACAACATCCTCAACAACTCTCAGATGATTATGCAGGCCTTGCAGACAGCGATGCAAAGGAGAAGGCAGAAAATGTGCTGATTGCCCTTATCTTCTCAGAGGAGTTTTTCATGCTCTAGGACCCAGAAGGGACATACCTTTTTCAAACACTCGTCATTCTGCACTACAGAAACTATCCCAGCTGGTGCAGTGGTTTGCTGGGGTTTTTCTATCCCCAAGAAGTGGTCTCTATAAGCAAAGACATTGTGTGGGAAATTTTTACTTACGTTTTGTTTCATCAATTAAGGTTGTCTGTAGAGCACTCTTTGCCTAAAATACTTGTTATATTTTTAAATAGCGTGATTTTAAGCATAACTTATTATAATATATAGGAAAATTATTTAATAATTATAAAGGAAAATAATTTTTTACCGCCACAGCGCTACAGTTATACAACACAGCCAACACACCTACAGGCCATAAGAAGGGAGTATAAACTTCTGCTCCCACAATTCTGCTTTGTGGAACACGAGATATGACCTGTCCTGGAAAACAAAGAGAACCTGAGACACAACTGGAAGCTGGTAATGGATCCCTTGGTCAACTCTGTTTTGCAAGTGTCCCAAAGAACAGCCACGGAGGCTGGAAAAGTGAGAGGGACAAGTGTGTGCACACAACCAGCTCCATGATCTCATCCACATCCTGGGCTCTCTTGGGCTGTGAATGAATCATATGTGATGGGAAGGAGCAACTTAGGAGGAAGTGGCATAAGACTTTTCACGTAAAATGTTATTTTTAAAGCAAAGGGTGTAATTTGGGCACATCAAAATTCCCTGTTAATATATGTCAGTTTTAATTGGTTTGTACTGAGACAGTATATAAAACCTCAACACTTTAATTTGAAGCTTTCAAAAGAAAACACCCTGGATCTTGTTTTCCCTGTTGGGTTACTTCTCATAATAAAATACCATTCTTAAATTAAAAAAAAAAAAAAAGTACTTGAAAGTATCTTACTTTCAGTAGACAATGAAAACTTTGCTGTGTTGCTTGGTACAACAGTTTAGGTCATATGCCTATCAAAAAAAATTTCTTATTTGTTTACTTCTGCCTGTACAAACTGAGTAGAAGTAAGTCAGTAGCCTAAACATCTTAAAACAATCTGAAGACCATGCGTGGGATCTAGCACAAAAACACCAATTAAATTTGTTGTGGTATGCAAAATACATTTGCTTTTTTAAACTTACTTCCTTTCCCTCTTTATTGAAAGTGCCTTTTTATTAACTGTTCTGAACTGTGCTGAGGGTGAGCTGTAAAAATTATAAATCCATAACTACTTTTGCATTCCAGGAGCAAGTCAAATTGAAAACACACTATTTATAAGTTTTGTGTCCTAAAGACAGCTGGGAATATTTTGAACAAAGAATCTATTCAGGCAGAAAAGAATCTATCAGCTACATATTATAATATGTGACTAAAATAAACCAGGGAAAATACTTGGGTAAGTTGAAACATTTCATGTTAATATTTTACAAATTTATTTTGAAACATAACTTCTTTTTAATAGACTGCCTACCTCGTCAGCCCAGGGAACCCAACATGAAAATAACAGGGTTCATTCACAGCCAAATAATGTTTGGCTTGTTACAAAATGACACTTTGAGGATTTCATTTTAGCAAGGAGTGATGACAAATCATCTTTACAAATTGGTTCGCGATAACTTTTCCAACACATTGGTCATTTATTACATCAAAACAAAACTTACATTTTTGTGCAACTGTAGCCTAATGTTGCCAGCCTAAAGATCACAGCATAAATACTAACGTTTGACACATACGGTTTTGAACAACTATGCACTTCTCTTTTTTTCTTTTTTATTTTTTCTTCTGTGGTAGTTTCACTAGTCATAGTCAGAATTATGATGCTATGTGCTCTGCATATAATCCTGGGAATTACCTCCATTTTTACCTGAAAACCCTGTTGTGAAAAAGAAAACACAGGTTTTAGCCATAAACTCTTGCCGCCTCCAGTTCTGAAGAAATGTTATTTACATGCAAAAATTTTGTGTGTACAGTACAAGACAATAAAGGCTTGTTTGCAAAATGAAAATTCTGCCTTGCTGCACATATTCAGGCATTTCAGTAATATGCTTCAGGTTCACAGTGTGAACATTCCTTGTTCCTGGAAAACAAAACTCTTTTTATCTCTGCAAAGAACATACCAAATACTTGCTGTGAGCATCGTGGATAAAGGAATGTCTCAGAGCCAGATTGCAGGAGTACAGAGCGAGCCATGGTCCCTCCCCCATGCAAGGGATGTCTCTGATGTGGATTGCAAATGTCGTCCATGAAAATGAGAGATTTTTGGCCACTGGCACTGTGGGAGTGAAAGTCTCAGAGGCCCAGTCCTGGTGGACAGTCTGGTTAATATTTTTGCCCTCCAAGGAGATGTCATAGTAAAGCATTGTCTTTAAACATGACTGACAGATGCCAATGCTGCCATTTTTCTGTGACCTAATGAAAAATGCATTTCATCGTTGAGCTGGCACACAGAGGAAACATGCCAAGTGTGTAGACACATCCCTTCATGGCATCACAAAATACTGTCCCCTACGGCAAAAAATTTATTCTACCAAGTTGGCTGTGATGACTGATGGTATTATTTTGCATGGCAATGTGCAAAGGGGACCTGCGCTGGCTTGACCAGTATGCAATGTTTGACCAGTAAGCTCAAGAATGCTCAGGGAATGAGCATCTTTTTGCTCAGAGATGATGTGCTGGGGAAGCGGGGAAGCCAAAAGAATCCCTTTCCCCAGAAAGTTTGATCTGTTATGATCTGTTGATGATGCAACAGTCTTTGCCTTTTCTAATCCTCTCCCAGTGAGCTGTGAGCCATGCCAGTTTCAATGGCACAGGAGTCAGCTGTGTGTGGACAGGGGCAGATGTCCTGCCCCAGCAGTGGTGTCACAGTTGTGCCAAGGGCTTTGGGGAGGACAGCTTGAGGTCAGGGCTGTGTTTTGCATCTGGCTGGCAGGTTTCATTGGGTCAGACACGGGCACTTAAATGCAGCTAGTTTGCAGCCAGAGTCAGTGTGAGCTGGAAAATGGTGCAGAAGTATTCATGGGTGTGGAGCTAAGTTAAGGAAAGTCATTGCTTCAGGACTCTACATCTATACACAAAAATAATAATAACAAGCCATAGTAAAGGAGAGGGAAGGAATACAATGGCTTGAGGAGAGACCCAGCCCTGCTGGACCTTGGCTGAGTAGTTATAAACCACCATGTGATTGTGGTGCTCTGTATGCCTAGACCTGGGACTGTAGGGACATGTGGTTCAGAAAGCCTTAAACTGTTTTTTGCAATAACCAGGTTAGTCTGAGAACAAAAGCATTCTCTCTTTTTTTTCTTCTCTCATTAGCTGTTTTATTGTGTCTGCTCACTGTCACAGATAACCTAAATTCAATTTATGTACTGTTGCTGTATCTTATTGCAGAGTTTGTACTTCTGTGGGCTTTGAGGTCTTGCTAAATTGAAAGTTCAGAGCTCAGGTAAAAGTTCAGAACATCCTTCCCTTAGGTTTAGTTTTAAAGCTGCCATTGGCCAGTACAGAGCAAAGTGACTCAAACACAATACTTCCACCTGCTATATAGGCAAAGGTATTTTTTCCTACTTACTTGACCACAGGATGCAGCTTCCTACCATAAGAAAATGGGAGGGGAGTAACTGGTTTTAAGAAACCAGTCAGAGGTGGGGCTCTGAGTCAGTTTATAAAATAGTTGCTCACCAGCATCTGGGACATTTGAACTATTGGTGTCTGTGGAAGCTGGCAGATGAGATTGCATTGCCACAGATAACACTGGACGTGTGTGTGAACGCGACCACAATGGACCAGGACAGCATTTTGTCTAAGGTAAGAAGGGTGCAGAGCAAAACAAGACATCTGGCATCTCAAATGCTTGTGCTGCATGTAGTGCAAAGATGATACTACTTTCTTGACCTTCCATTGACTATAATAACTCTATGCAGGATGAGGAAAGTCAAGGCTTCAAGACCTCAATATTAAAACTTTGAAAGTTATAGTAAACCACACGAAGAAAATTAAAACTACTTGGGGAGTAAGAGCTTATTTACAAGGGGAGCATTTTGAATATTTAGGGATTTTATTAATTCTAGAGACACCATATCTGCAACTTTAGAATAAGTATTAAATAACATAGAGGAGTACTTCAAGGTGAAAGATTAATGACAGGGTGTGTTTATGTGAGACAGGTTTGCTGTTCCTTTAACAGCCAGGGCCAGGAGCTGCTTCCCCTCCCCATGTGTCATGAAGGGTGGACCTTACCTGGTTGCTACGCCTCCTCTCAGGTTTAGTGGGGCAAGTACAGCCCAAGCAGTGGCACCGGGCACCGCAGGAAACCCCGGTTCCTGCCAAGGCTCTACAGCCAGCACTGACCATGGGCTCCCTGTCCCTGTGGTTCTAATGTTCTCAATTCCCAAAGAGGGTTGCCTTTAAGAGAAATGATGGTTTTTCCAGGGGTAACGTTGGCCCTTCTTGTTCCAGGAGCTGATCACTCAAACCTCTCAACAAGGAGACGGAACTATGCAGCTGAATCCTGATGGGAAACAGTGGACTTCTCTTACAAAGGTACCAGAAAGGAGAATTTCGAAAGGAAACTGTAAAGGGGACTTTCCTGGTGGGTGGAGGCTGGGTGAAAACAGATAGGGTTCAGCATCTGCCAAACAATTTAATTAGCTACTGTAACCCGTTCAGTTCCCTCTGTGAGGCACTGTCCTGCTTATCGCTTTGATCATTCCACTTAGGTAGTCTTGCTTCATGTTAAATTCCTAGTGTGGCTTCCTGTCCTTGGCACATGGGGAACAATCTCTGTTTAAACAAGACTAATATCTTCAAAAGGATGGCTTTCAATAGGCTTTCTCTACATGTCTTGCTACAGCACAAGGGCAAGTTTCGGGCCAGTGTGGATAGCAAGAGAAGGGAAATTATGCCATTTACTCTCACAATAGTATGGCAGAATCTTAAAGTGGATTTTCAACACCTGATTTCCTGAATTAACCCCTCTTCTGGCCTCTAGTAAAAATGAATAG